ATATCCAAGTCTCTGAGGTGGTTTTATGACTCTTCTTTGCCTATCTCTCGACAATAGGTAGTCATCAACAGTTTCCTCAACATCATCAGAATCTTCTGTTTCTTCTTCGACTTCATCTGGGATACGCATTTCAGCATCAACATGCTCCACCTCAACAGGAATCTCTACCTGTTCCAGCTCTTCGTCAACATCATCAGTCTTCTTGAAAGCCATTTCAGTTTCATTAAAAACTACATCTCGACTGGTGATACACCTCCTGTGACCTGGCTCTAGGCACCATAGCCTATAAGCTTTCACTCCTTCAGGGTATCCCATAAACATGCATTTCAGAGCTCTAGGTTCGACCTTGTCTTGCCTAATGTGAGCATAGGCTACACAGCCAAATACTCTTAGTTTTTCGAGATCTGGTGGATGTCCCGACCAAACTTCTTCAGGTGTCTTCATATCTAACGCTGTCGAAGGACATCTGTTTATCAGATATGCTGCTGTCGAAACAGCCTCAGCCCAAAACACCTTCTTTAATCCCGCACTAGTCAACATGCATCTAACTCTCTCCAAAATAGTTCGATTAAACCTTTCAGCCAAACCATTTTGTTGTGGAGTACCTGCGGTAGTTCTGTGCCTTGCAATACCAGAGGCAACACAAAAACTGTCGAACGCCTCATTGCAAAACTCAAGGCCATTGTCGGTTCTCAACCTCTTTACCTTTCTGCCAGTTTGATTTTCGACAAGAGTCTTCCAACTTTTGAAATTCTCAAAAGTTTCATCCTTAGTCTTCTGGATGAATACCCATAACTTTCTGGAATAGTCATCTACTATGGATAGAAAATACTTTGCTCCTGAATGTGATAGACACCTTGTAGGCCCCCAAAGATCAGCATGGATGTAATCAAGGGATCCATGTGTTCTTTGTTTGCCTTTGTTGAACTTCATTCTACAGGACTTTCCAAGTACGCAGGGTTCACAAAACTTCAGCTTTTCGACTTTATCTTCACCAAGCAAATTTTGTTTCCCTAATTCAACCAGACCCCTTTCACTGACATGGCCCAATCTCATGTGCCAAATTTCTGTCTTCGACAAAGGTTTCGTGGATGCAACATTTGTCGAACCACTTATAACTTCAGCCTCAAGGGTATACAAGCCTTGTTTCTTCACGCCTCTCAAGACTTCCTTCGACCCTTTCATGACTCTCAGGATACTTTTCTCTCCTTGAAACACATATCCTTTCTTGTCGAATTCACCAAGAGAAATCAAATTTCTCTTCAAATCAGGTACATACCTGACTTCAGTCAACAATCTTATTGACTCATCATGGAGCTTGAATCTCACAGATCCAACGCCTGCAATCTTGCAAGCTTTGTTGTTTCCCAGCAATACAGATCCACCATCTTGATCACATAATTCCTCGAACAAGTCTTTGTTTGGAGTCATGTGCCAAGTGCATCCAGAATCCATAATCCACTCCTTCGACGAGTTGTTGCTTGAAACCACAAGAACATCAGATGATTCGAAATCATCTTGGACAATAGCTGCATTGCCATTATCCTTACCTCCATGATCTTTCAGGCGTTCAGGGCACACCTTTCTTGTGTGACCTACTTTCTTACAGTGATAGCATCTAATACCAGATGCGTCACCACTATAAGACTTCGACTGATTTTTACCTTTCCTCTTGTCGAATTTTCCTTTAACAGCCAAACCTTCACCAACCGTCGAAGGTTTATGCTCCTTACGTTCGTTCAAGTCCTTAGAGTACAAAGCTGATTGAACTTCTTCAAAGGTCAGGGACTCTCTTCCATACAAGAGGGTTTCTTTGAAGTGAGCATGTGATCTGGGCAAAGCGCACAACAATAACAGCGCTTGATCTTCATCATCAATCTTTACATCAATATTTTCAAGATCAAGAATCAGTTTGTTGAACATATCCAACTGCTCAGCCAACACTTTGTCTTCAATCATCTTGAATGAATACAAAGCTTGCTTCAGGTAGAGTCGATTTACCAGAGATTTGGTCATATACAAACTTTCAAGTTTCACCCATAACCCTGATGCCGTCGTCTCCTTTGATACCTGTCGAAGAACCTTATCACCAAGGCTCAACAAAATTGCGCTGTGTGCTTTCTCGATCATGGCCGTCTTCTCTCTTTCTGTTAACGCAGCGTCCATCGCCGTCGCTCCCTTCAACGCTTCCAAACAACCCTGCTGAACCAGTAGGGCTTTCATCTTTAAGCGCCATAGACCGAAATCATTCACTCCGGTGAACTTTTCAATCTCATATTTTGTTGAAGGCATCTTCTCCACGCTCACCGCACCAATTTGTTGTGAATTCAATGCCAATAACAAAGTATAGAACAAGGGAGGAATAATAAACAAGGAAGAAGAAGAACACAAGAATTGGTTATAACTGCTATTCTTTACTTTCTCTTAGAAAACAAGATTACAAGTTTACAAGAATAACAAATAACCCTCTCACCCTAAATTAGGATTTGCTGTGTGTTGCAATGATGAGAGACTAGTATGCTATTTATAATAAAACCTAACATACTAACTAATGGGCTTTTTCCACAAGGCCCATTATACAAGCTAACTTAATAAATAAGCTAACTTAACAAATTAGGGTTTAAACACTAAAACCTAATTTAACAAGCATTTTCGACAAATACATGCCAGACCCTTCTTCGACTACAGCATGTACTTCGACCATACTAGAGTTTGATCCAAAATCCCACAATATTAAAATTTATTAATTATTTTTTTAAAGAGGAGTAGTGTAGGATGTGAATGAGGCTTTGGAAACACTAATTATAAAATTTGCGTTTAACTTATTTTACATTATATGTGTCAAAGCTCCAACTGTGTCTCTCCGATTTGGTTTAATTATTTTTATAAATATTTTAGGAAAAAAAAGAATATTAAAAAGAAAAATTAATCAAATAAATTTTTGAGCATTTGATATTGAACAAGAATTTTTTCTTATTAGATTTGAATTTTATATCGATAAGTTGTGCATTTTTTTATCTATAAAATTTTCTAAAATACTTGTATAGGATGAATCATTTCACTATAACACGAATTATTAAAATGAAAACATAGTCAATTATTTGTATTTGGAACAAGGGAATTCATTTTGTAAATTGACTAATATAGGAGACTAAAAATATAATTAAGTCATTTAAAAAAAAATTACCAAAAGATAAATATCATTATTTTGTTTTTATAATTTTAGTTTAATAATGATCACATTTTAAATAATTTAATATTTTTTATAAATGTTTGAAATATAAAAATTTAAATAATTTAATATTTTTATTTTCCTAATAATTTAGAAAAGTGTGTCGGTGTTCCATTTTATTGATCTTTCAAATTGAAATACTTGTTTTAGAAGTTGACTCTTTTTTTTTTTATATTAAATAGTTGTATTTAATTTAAATTTATAATTTAATAATATTATATTATTAAATAAAATATAGTTTTAATCTTCTAAATATAAGAAAAATAGGGTTAAATATGTTGTTGGTCTCTATAAATATCGTAATTTATGCTTTTTAATCTTTATAAAAAAAATATTGAGTTTTAATCTCTATAAAATTACTTTTGTACGCAATTTTAATTTCTCTACTGGGACTAAAATTGCTAAACAAATAATTTTATAGGACTAAAACTCAATATTTTTTTATAAAAATTAAAAATCATTTTTGATAATTGATCTGACCTGATCAGAAATGGACCGTCACGGCTGGCTCCGAGCAGAAAGCTTTTTGAACGAGGTGGGGGGGGGGGGGGTACCTGCAAGGCACTCCGATGCTAAAGTGAGTAGGAGTACGAGCAGATAATAGTAAGTTGAGGTTAGAATGATGAATACTTGACCCTCTGGAAATAGAGAGTATTTATAGCCCCCAGCGCTGGGCCAAGGTTCCTTCATTGGGCCGGGCGGATTTGGCCCAATGGAGGAACTACCAGGTTCTACGTGCGTAGTGGGGACCCGCACGTGGTCCCCTTCCTGGATGTTCTGCGTGAAGTGCGGGCGGACGGAGACGCGGTCTTTTCGGGGTCTCGTTGGGGGAACCGTGGACTGAGTCTGCCCTAGTTGGGGTGCTCGAGGTGATGTCGAGCTGGACAGCAGGGTGTCGAGCTGGACGTCAGGACGTGGAGCTGGACGGCAGGGTGTCGAGCTGGACGTCAGGACGTCGAGCTGGACGTCAGGAGGTGGAGCTGGCATCATCACGTGGAGTTGGACAGCGGTTGTCGAGCTGGACATCAGGATGTCGGCCACGGATGCGACCCCTTTGCTCGGCGTGGTCCTTAGTAAGTCCCTTTGGACTGGGCCTTAGCAATGCTTTTGGGCCTGTCGGGCCCAGTCCAGAACAGGAGCCCCCCAAGTCGTGGTTCCTTTGCGAGGAGCCATGACTTGAACCCAAGTTATTACCTCGTTGAGGTCTCGCGCCCGGGATGGAGGTGTGGGCCCTCGAGGGGCCTCCTCGTGTCGTGCTCGGAGACGTGCTCGGTGGTGGATGCGCGGAGGATCCTTATCGGGTGTGTCGGTCGAGCACTCGAGGCATCTTTCGGGAACCGTGCCGCCACCCTATGGGGGTAGGGCTATCATTGCGTTGGGAGCAGCGCGTCGAGGAGATGGAGTCCGTGGTTGCCCGAGGTGACGTTTGGTATTCCACGTCATCACTATAAATAGGAAGATTGGGCCCCATAATACGTTTTCTGCTCTCCGTGCTCTCTCTGCTGCTGCTCTTCCAGACTTTCTCCAGTTGCGACTTCTCGTCACAGATTCTTCCATTTCGTAGCCAGATCCCTCTCTTTGATCCAAGTAAGTGATCTACCTTCTTCATTTTTTCGTTTAGAATGCATGATTCCTGGCGTTTGTAGATGTTTTAGGACCGCGCGCATGGGATTAGCCCGGTAAACTCGTGCTTGGCCCGCCACATTCATGTCTAGGACCGGCAAACGCATGTTTGTGGCCGGCACATTCATAGTTTAGGTGATAAACTTCAGAGCTGCCCGGGGTCTTCATGATCCAGGGCGCCTGATTCATGATCGCGCCCGGTATGTTCATGGTCTTGGCCGTAGGCTTCATGGTGCGGCTCGCCATGTTCATGCCTCGGGTCGACATGCTTGCAGAGTGGCCGCGCAGTTGGTTTGAGGAAGAACATCGGGTTCAGGACGTCGGGGAGGCAACCATTCGTGGAAAATGGACTTATGTAGTCGTGTATGGGACGACATGATTTTGTCGAGCGTAGGACTTCGTGCTCAACTGACTGGTTTCCCGTGCTCTGCAGGTAACCATGGCGGACGAGCCGAACTCTTCCGGACGCCGCGACCGTGACGAACAGAGTGCCGACGAGTCGGTCACCCTGATTGATACCGTGACCGACCCATTGCTGGAATGGGTGGGTGTCGAGCCGCGGGGGATAGCGTCGGTATATAGTCGGGATGACCGACATCCATTCACTGTCATTGAAGAGGGTCAAGACCAGCCCGACTTCCAACAAAACTTCGTAGTCATGATTCCGTCAACCGGTGCAAGGATCTGCTCGGTCTATCCGAATTACAGCCTCGCGATGTATGAGATCGCGTTTAAAGACCTAGGGTTGCGGCTGCCGTTCACTGATTTTCAGGCCGGGGTCTTTATGCACTTGGAGCTGGCTCCGTCCCAGCTGCACCCAAACTCTCTCGCCTTCATCCGGGCGTTTGAGTTGACGTGTCGCTACCTGAGGATCGGGGCGACCATCCCTCTTTTCTTCCGGGTATTTCACCTGCAGCGTCAGTCCCGAGGAGGGAAACATAGCTGGGTCTCCCTGAAGCAGTCGAGGAGACTTTTTAAGATGTATATGGACTCCGTGAGGGGGTTTAAAGACAAGTGGTACATGGTACGTCCAATTACCGATGCTACTTTAGATTCCCTTTTCGAGGAGGAGGGGCCAGTGAGCGACGATGATGGGGAAACGATGGTGAGCGACGACGGGAGCCCTGTGTTGGGTCGAAGGGCTAAATTCCCGGTGTACTGGATGTCCCGACATTACGAGCATGGGACCGGCTATTACCATACCGCCGTCGGGGACATGTGCTCGGAAGATCAGCGGACGTACGACGCTCTTTGCCGGTTTGTCAACAGTTTTCATCCCGCCCGATGGGTTACGCGGGAAGGGGATGATATCCTGGACAAAGATGGTTACCCGACGTTCGAGTCCCGTCCGATCGACACCAAGGCGCTGGTGGAGTGTCCGACTTACAGGCAGGCTGCCCGCCTGTTAGGTTGTTTGCTTGAAATTCTTTATTCGTCATTTACTCATGCAGTTTGCTCGATACTGATTTTTCCTTTATTTCGTGCAGGTACGATGGCTAGCCGACATGAAAGGCTCTTGAAACTATCATGCGACTAGAGGTGGGGCAGGAGGGTCGTGAAGGCCCCACAGGCGACGAGGATGGGTCCCCGACCCGGTCCAAATGTTCCTCAGCCGGTGAGGGTGGATTCGCCGTCGAGCTCGGGACCCGCGTCGGATCCAGAGGTCGAGGAGATCGACCCCAGCGCCGTTTTGACGCAGAGGAAGAGGACCCGTGTGGAGGGTGGTTCGACTGTCGGCGAGGACGCCGGCGCTGTTAAATCCTTCGCCTTCCCCCCTTGTTTCGAAGAGGCGGGCTTTTTCGAGCGATTCCCCCCGACAGTGGTTGCCCATGAAGCTGAGGCCATAAAAAAGATGAGTAAAGAGGAAAGGAAGGCGTATCTGGCCGCCAGCGTGGACGGGCTGGTAAAAATGGCTGAAATGGCTTTGGTGTTATCTGAGGATGGAGGGGATGCTGCCCGTGTTGAAGAACTCGAGTAGGAGAAGGCGGCGCTGACCGCGAGCTCGCGGAAATTGAAGGTCGCTCTGGAACGCTCCGAGGGGATGTTCCGAGAGCAGACCGCGATGCTCGATGCTGAGAGGGAGATGTTGACCCTGGAGAAGGAGAAATCGGGGAAGTTGACTGAGGAAGGGGAGCTTCTTCGGGCGGACAGGGATCGTCTGGCGGCCGAAGTCGAGCGCTTGGGTAAACAGGTCGAGGAAATGAATGCTACCCTGCAACCTGCCGAAGATGAGCCCGAGGACATAGTAGCTTTGAAGAGTCGGGCGGAGCTTGTCGCCCACATCCGACTCCTCGAGGTGGACTGCGTCGGTGCCCTGGAGGATAGGTTCAATTCTGCGGTCGATCAGCTCTCCTTGCTAAACCATGGCCTGGTCACTGTGGGTATCGGTCACACACACCGGATTGTAGGTGGCGTGATCGTTCCTCCGCCCGACTCACCTAGCGCCGACAATGATGATTCCGTGGAAGTCTGAGTAGGATAGCGGGCCTGCGTGCCCTTGATATTTGTATTCTTTGGGCCTGTGTGCCCGTTTATTGTATGTTATGAACATCGCCGGCCTTCTTGGTCGGTTTACTATTGTTTTGTTGCCTTCGGGCATTTATATCAATGTTGTTTTACCTTTTGGATTTTTGCCCTTGTTTGAAATCATGTGCTTGTATGAATTTAGACTAAGCCACGGGCCCGAGGAGTCCCCGTAAGTGGCCTTGACTTGGCGAGTAAATATGCTCGACTCCGTTTGTATGCGTTCCCGGCCCTATTTCGATTGGCCAGAACCACCTAAGTGTTGCGCTCGAGGGGAGAGATTTTCTTTTGACCCTTGTAGATGTCCCGTTATTCTTGATGGAATGTCGGGCATTTCGGAGCGAGGTTGCTCAGTCGGGCGTGGAGCCCGTTAGGGACGATTCGCCCTTGGCGTGAACTGCTCATCGCGAGCTGGGTGTTCTGCCTTATGGGTACGACGGCGGTGGGGCTCGGTACAGCTGTCCACGTCGGGCACTATCGATCGTCATCGTTTACCGCGCGATGCTGTGCTATTTTGGTCGTACGTCGGGCTTGTACCTTAGCCTTATACGAAATTGGACGTTTTTCCTCGTTGACCGAGCGCGGGTGCTGCTGGTCGAGGGTCCCAGGTGTTGACAGTTTCTAACTGTAGTACTGCTTTAGCTTAGCAGCATTCCAGGGTCTTGGTAATGGCTCTCCGTCTAACTGCTCGAGGTAGTACGCCCCGGTACCCGTGGTGCCGTGGACGCGGTAAGGTCCTTCCCAGTTCGCGGCCAACTTCCCTTCGCGGGAGTCTTTCTGGTTCCTGCGTAGTACCAGGCTGCCTATTTCGAACTCGCGCTTGATGACCTTGTCGTTGTGGCGTAGAGCCACTCGTTGTTTTAGGGTGGCTTCGCGTAGGGCAGCCCCCGATCGGATTTCCTCGACTAGGTCGAGTTCATCCCTTAGTGCTTCGTCATTCATTTCTTCGTCGAGGGGTTCCTCCGTTCGACGGGATGGTTCCATGATTTCGACCGGGATGACAACTTCGGTGCCGTAGGTCAGTCGGAATGGTGTTTCCCCAGTCGTTGAGTGGGGTGTGGTGCGGTATGCCCACAGGACGCTGTGGAGCTCCTCGACCCATCCTCTTTTGGCTTCGCCGAGTCGACGTTTGAGCCCTCAGAGGATGACTCTGTTCGCGGCTTCGGCCTGCCCGTTGGTCTGAGGGTGTTCGACCGACGTGAAGTGTTGTTTGGTCCCCAGTTTGGTGACGAAGTCTCGGAATCCGTGGTCGGTGAACTGGGTACCGTTGTCGGTCACCAGTGCCTGCGGAATTCCAAACCTGGCGAGCACGTTTCTTTTGTAGAAACGGAGGATGTTGTGTGAGGTAATTTTTGCGAGTGCCTCGGCCTCGATCCATTTCGTGAAGTAATCCACGGCGACGATTAGAAATTTGTTCTGGTAGGTCCCTTGCACGAAGGGCCCGAGGATGTCCATGCCCCACCAGGCGAACGGCCATGGGGACGACAATGTGTTCAGCTCGTGCGGGGGGGCGAGGTGCATATCCCCGTGCTTCTGACACTTGTCACATTTTTTCACGTGTTCCTTGGCGTCCTGTTGCATCGTCGGCCAGTAGTATCCTGCCCGAAGGGCTTTCCTTGCCAAGTATTTACCGCCCATGTGCTGGGCGTTGATCCCTTCGTGTATCTCCCGCAGTACGTCGGGGATGGCGGACTCGTCGATGCATTTCAGGAGGGGAATGGAGAATCCTCTTCGGTACAGTTTCTGCTCGAGAACAACATAGGAACATGCTCGTCGCTTGATTATGGCAGCTTCGGCCTGGTTCGACGGGAGTTCTCCCTTTGTTAGGAAATTATAAACTGGGGTCATCCAGGACGTGGCGTCCCCGATGGCGTGGATCTCGACCGTAGTCGAAGGTGGTTCGATGCTCGGTCGTGCCAGAGATTCCTGGATGACAGATTTATTCCCGCCTTTCTTTCGTGTGCTCGCGAGTTTGGACAATATGTCCGCCCTCGTGTTTTGCTCGCGGGGAACATGAGAAATTTCTGCACGTACGAACTTTGCCATGTGTTTTTTGACTAAGTTCAAGTACTCAATGAGGTTGTCATTTTTGGCCTGGTAGCTTCCCTGTACTTGGGAAGCGACGAGCTGGGAGTCGGTGTAAATTTGAACTTCGCGGGCTCCCAGGTCCTCGGCTAATCTCAGTCCTGCGAGTAGGGCTTCGTACTCTGCCTGGTTATTTGACGTCGGGAAGGAGAGAACCAAGGAGTGCTCGATTACCACACCTTCTTCGTTTTCCAGGAGGATCCCTGCGCCGCTTCCGGACGAGCTGGAGGCTCCGTCGACGAAGATGGTCCACTTGTGTTCCCCGGGGGAATGTCGTTAGTGGTCATCTCCGCGACGAAGTCGGCCAAGGCTTGTGCTTTCAGGGCCTTCCTGCTCTCGTACTGAATGTCGAATTCGGAGAGTTCCAAGGACCACTTCAGCATTCTGCCCGCCATATCTGGCCGACCCAGGAGTTGCCTCACCGGCTGATCGGTTCGCACGATGATGGTGTGCGCTAGAAAGTAGTGTCTGAGCCTCCTCGCAGCGTTGACGAGGGATAGAGCAACCTTTTCTATCTGTTGATACCTGCTCTCAGGGCCTTGTAAGGCTTTGCTCGTGAAGTAGACAGGTTTCTGCCCGTCAGGGGTCTCACGGACAAGAGCTGCGCTGATGGCTTCGTTTGAAACTGCCAAGTATAGGTATAGTGGTTCGTTGTCATCTGGTCGAGACAATACGGGCGGTTGAGACAGGCTCTGCTTCAAATGGCGGAGTGCGTGCTCGCATTCCTCGTTCCATTCGAAGGCTACTTCCTTTCGAAGGAGCTTGAAGAAGGGAAGCGCGTGCTGAGCGGACTTCGCGACGAAGCGGGATAGCGACGTCAACATGCCGTTCATGATTTGTATCGATTTCTTCGACGTTGGTGTCGGGAGGTCGGAGAATGCCCGACACTTGTCGGGGTTGGCTTCAATCCCTCGTTCTGTTAGATAGAATCCGAGGAATTTTCCTGCCTTGACCCCGAACGTGCACTTCTCGGGGTTGAACCTCATTTTGCACTGTCTTGCTTGGGCGAAGACTGTCTTGAGGTGGGCCGCGTGATCGGTGTCTGCTCGGGATTTGACGATCATATCGTCCATATATACCTCGAGCATGTCGCCAATCTGTTTGTTGAACACTTTGTTCATCATGCGTTGGTAAGTTGCACCGGCGTTCTTCAGTCCGAAGGGCATTACGTTGTAGTAATAGTTGCCCGAGCTGGTCATGAACGTTGTGCAGCGTTTGTCGCCCAGAGCCATTGGGATTTGATTGTATCCCGAGTAGGCGTCCATGAACGACAAAGTCTTGTAGCCGGCCGAATTGTCGACCAGCATGTCAATGTTAGGTAGAGGAAAAGCATCCTTCGGGCAAGCCCGGTTGAGGTCGGTATAGTCAACACACATTCTCCATTTTCCATTATTCTTTTTAACAAGTACAACATTTGACAGCCAGGTGGAGTACCGGGCTTCAGAAATAAAATTTGCCTCTAGGAGGTCTTTTACAGCTTTTTCAGCAGCCTCCGTTTTTTCTGGAGACTGCCTACGCCTACGTTGTACTACGGCCTTGGCGGCTGGATCAATGGCGAGGTGATGACAGGCGACCTCAGGGTCGAGTCCGGGCATCTCTGCAGCGCTCCAAGCGAAGAGATCAGCATTCTCGCGCAGACAGGCCTTGATTTGCTTCCTGGCCAAGTCGGGGAGGTCTTTGCCAATCTTCACTCCCTTGGTCGGGTCTGCTCCGAGGGGAACGAGTTCAAAATCGCCGTCCGGAATAGGTCGGAGGGGGATTTGCTCGCTGCTGGATGGCTCGTCTTGGTCGAAGCGTGCGTCGAGGGCTATGGAGTCGACCTTTGGTGGAGCCTTCTGAACTTCTACCTCGGGGGATGCTCTGTCGGGCTCTTGCTTTGTCTTCTTGGTGGGTCTGGTACTGGTACCCACGTCGACGGTATCCCGTCCCCTTGAAGCGGCGTTGAAGCACCTGCGGGCAGCGGCGAGGTCTCCCTGGATGGTGGCTACCCTTGCCCTTTTGGTATAGAACTTCATTTTTAGATGGACAGTTGAGGGCACCGCTGTCAGCTCCGCTAATGTCGGCCTCCCCAAGATGCAATTTGTTATACCCCAAAATTTGCCCTCCCATATTCCTCAAGAAATTGCCAAGCCAAGCTAGAAAATTCCCCAAGGGTTGTGCAGTGCAACAGTCTCCCATACAGTCAAAACTAGGGTTTGGGTTCTGATCAAGAGAATGAAGTTTTCAAATGCTCAATCAAGTCTCATATGCTTACAAACATGGTCAAACATCCTCATATCAAGTTTCAAGGCATTCAGCTCAAGATTGCACAGTCAAAACCCTAAATTGCACTACAGTCAACTGTAGGGGCAAAATGGTCATTTGACAGTCAAAAGTTCAAATTTTTGGTCAACATATCATTTTGAAGCCACAAACATCATTTGATCAATGCTTGATCATGATTCTCAAAACTTGGCTCAGAAATCATCAAAGATGCAAAAGTTGCTATATTTGGACAGCTGAAAAAGTCAACTGAAATTGACCAGGGCATAACTTTCACATGGATTATCAGAAAAATTCCATCCAAAGCTCATTTTGAAGAGAAAGACATTTCCTACAACTCATCTTCATACTTCAAGTCCAAGAAATGCTCTCACAAAAAGTTATCAATTTCAACATTATAGGTCATTTTCAAAAGTCAACAAAAAGGGACTTTAAGTCAAAGACCATAACTTGAGATTGGTAAATCAAAATGACATGGGACCAAAGGCATTGGTTAGAGGACTCAAAGACCTTTCCAAAATGTCCAAGAACATGAGAAAATCTTAAAAATTGAGCAAGTTATGCCTTGTAGAAGTTGGGAAATTTTTGTGAAATGGCAAAAGT